ATATATATATATTTCCTGTGTTTTGAAAAATAGATTTTTTAATAAACGGTTTGTATTTCAATTCAACCACTGGTATTATGGTGGGACTCAAGAAGTCAAAAAAAAATGTTAGGTTGAAGATCCTTTAAAAGATGGGCACAATTATTAAGGTTAAAGTTCAGATTAAAAAATAACATTAAATACATTTATGGCACCACATCCAAGATTTATTCATTTTTTTATCCGAATTAACAACACATGTTGCAATATTATTGAGCTACATAAAAAGAGGCCAAGATGACAAACAAAACACTCCCATTAAATAAGTTAACCATTATGAAAGAAAGCTAAAACCTCTCATTTCGTAAGTTAACCATTATGAAACAAAGCTAAATCCTCTCATTTCGTAATCCTTCATGAAATAAATGATTGACGACATCAACATAGGTAGTTAAATACCGATCAATAACAGTGTCTAACTTTTATCTGGTGAGAAACAAAATTTCACTGATTTCCTAACCTTATATGGTACTCTCTCCGCTTTTTTTTTCATTGTCTTTAAGGTTATGCACAAGAATTAAGACAATAATTGATATTTTAGTTTTTCAAAGTATTTATTACATATTTTTCTGTTATACCCTTTAGGTGATTGGAGAAGAAATAGGTACATTAAAAAATAAATAAATAGATTATTCAGTAAATATACATTAATTATCAAGGGTAAAAATGAAAAGAAAATAATAAGTCATTAATTTTAGAAAAATGACAATAAAAAAAAATCAACAAAATCTGACAAAACGACTATGAAAAAAAAATGGAGGGAGTAGTAGCATGTAGGTTTTAATAAATCTGTTAGACTGTCTCCTCGAGTTGAGTTTGTACCTTATACTTATTTTCAATTTTATATTCAATGAGTATGACAGTTATTTCTTTTTTCCATTTTTGTTGGGTATCAAATATATCCGTACCTACCTATAAATTAATTAAATATCTTTTAAAAAAATTATAAAATAATAAGAATTTTAATATAGAGTAATAATTACAAAATTATATTAATTAAATTTTATCTGACATAAATTTAAAATAGATTAAGATTTACATAAATTTCGAGTAAAAACTCTAAAAACAAGTAAATTAAATTTCTAAAGCAAGAATAAGTACATAATAAGTATATACCCATCTCTGTTTTCATATTCGTTTTAATAAATCAAATATTACTGGTACCCAACCTGTACCCATATTAGGTCAAATCATGTATCCCTATCAAAGTTAAGACAAATTCAAGTGTACGAGATTATTTGTCATTCCTTAAAAGTGTATCATCATACCAAAAATATTCTTGCAACAATTCATAAATTAAAACAATATTTTTTTATCCAAAAATTAAAACAATACATTATCATAAAAGTGCTCTAAAAAACAAACAATTATTTGATATCAATTAAAATTGTAAAGCATTTGTTAAAATGACTAGCATTTTTATATAAAAAGATAAAGAAATTTGAAGAATCTAATGAACCCTGGTTCTATTTTTATTTAAGGTAGGAAAATTAACTGCTATAATTTGAAAAGGCAGACCGCCAAAATATTTCTGATCAATTTATCTTCTTTAAGAGAAATGTCAAGAACACACTCTTTTCAACACATTCTTTTAATTGATTGAAGTTTATCGAAGAAAACGCAAAAGTATGAGTCTCTCACCCTATTTAATATCCTCTCTAATTTTCAATAAATTCTAATTACTGAGAGAGAGTGTATTAATAAATTCTAACTAATGAGAGAGTGTATTAGAGGGTGTGTTGCTGACACTCCTTATCTATTTAATTAGCAAATAACTACAGCATCACATGTAGAATGTGATATAAAATTAACTGTCATAATCTTAATTCTGCATCATTATTTGCTAAGCAGCAAATAACACTCTCAGCAACTGAATGTTACAAGGATATCTTTCTATAACAATAGCATCGCATGTAAGAATGAATATGTTTGAGAATTATTCCCTTCTAAAGTTCGAAAAAACAAACTTTTCATCCCTAAATTGAATCTAGTTATTAATAACGTCAATTACTTCCTAGAGTTGTCTCCTAAAATGTATTTGCCTGCTTCCATTAAGGCCTTTAGCTTGTGATGTACAATTAACATATTTCTTCAGAACAATTGGAGTGACTATTTAATATATTAAACATTAATGAATAATCCCACACCCACTCCTATTCACATGGAAAAGCAGACTGTAGCAACAATATCAACGCATAATAAAAAACTTAAAAGTATAAATTCATGGACATACCATCTATGTCATATGGAGGTGGAAAGAATTGTAAGTAACAAAACGAAGCGATTGTCAAACCTGCATAAAAGCTCGAGTAAAAAAGTCTGAAGAAAGGTATCTTTATTTATATATTAATAAATAAAACAGAAAAATTCGGTCTTCAACAGACCTATAAGCCCTCCAGTAAAAACATCTTGCCAGTGATGCCAATAATCATCAACACGAGAGACAGCAATCATAGCTGCCACTAGAAGAGGAAAGAAAACAATACAAAGTTTGGCAACATGGCCCCTACGGTCAAATGCCTTAATTTTTCCGGACAGATACCATGCAAGAAAACCAAGTCCAGCAAAGGACCCTGAATACCAATAATTGAATATTAGTTAGCACTTAGCACACATTATAAAATGAGAACAAACAATGTAAATAGGTCACTTACAGACCCAAGTTAGAACAAATGCCCAATGACAAAAAGAAAACGTTAGTCATGTGCAGTAGACAAATCAAAATTCCATTCAATTCTTCCTTCAACTTGGAACCCTGTTTCTTCGAACCAGTTATGCTTTGTGAAATTAAGCTTAAGATTACCAATTTATCAATTTTGTTGACTTCAAGAGGCAATAAGACCATTGTTTCAAATGAAATGTAGAACATGGAGATATGTACCATACATAAAAATAAAAACTAATAAAGTCCCACAGAGCCTGAGGTTGTTCCGAGTACTTACAAGAGGTATGTCCACTGGGAAAACTTTTGTGTCCTTCCTTAATAACACCCTTGTCTCCAGTACATCTAACGTTTCTTGTCACTGGATCAAACACCTGAACATATCATGAATCAATACCATGTTTCTTGTGCAGATAACTATGTAAAACCAATATATGTATCACATGGTAAAGGATTAATTAGGAAACATTGGCAGTTCATAAATTTGAGAACCCACCCCTTTTCCATCAGGGAAACAACGCCAGAAGAAATCTGGGCGTGGCCGTCCAACACCATCTTTGATAGCATCAGTTATCACCGCAGTAATGAGTACAGAGAATAAAAGGCCTGAATATGCATTTGCCAACCACAGGTTAGGTTATAACAAAGGGTTATGCAAATAAGGTAAGGGAAAAACTTTCTATAGGTCAGAAAAGTACCCAAGATAGCATGGTGGAAGTCATAAACATCCTTGCGTATGAAATAGTAAACAAGAATGATAGCTATTGGCAACAATATTGCTATTATCTGTCCCAAAATTGGAAATTCAAGAGTTCATATCTTGAATGTCTATCAAGGTCAATATTAACATAAACTCAATAAGGATGCATAGTTCTTAGAAGCAAAACATACTGGAACAGCCCAAAAGGGTATAGTATTATCTTTTAATGGGTATCTCAGGTCAGTCATCATCCCCTCTCCAACAAAACGGTGAAATGGCTCTATTACATTCAAGATGGCATCAATGATAACAAGAAGCAAAAGAATCAACCAGTCATGCATATGTATCCTTGCCACTTTAGCTCCATGTGATCTGATCGTGTATCTGCTCAACTGATCTTCTGGCATTTTTCTGCTGCGAATGACAAAAATAGATATGTCAACAAAAGTTACACTAGAAACCAAAACACCCAAAAAAATTAAAGATACGCAGTGCCAGCAAACAAGTGGAATATAGTTTATTTTTATAGTGTTCCTGGACATAGTAAATAAATGGCAATTTAAAGGAAATTCTTTTTTTTTTTTTTTAATCTATAGAGATGGTTCAGGCAGTATTCTAAAACTGATAACAACTAACAGTTAATATATGTTCACAACTTCTATTAACCAAACATTATTTTAACATTGATGGAAATTGATCTTGCGAGCACCGGGTCGATCTCATGCGTTGTAGAGCAAGTCTTACAGCCATACCTGTTAAGGTAAATTCCCTACTTTCAATTTCATTTGTTTTAGTATTTTAGATAATACTATACCACTTGCTCATACATGAAAAATATGAAAAACATGTAATCATTTATCATTGGCATTGCCATATTAACTCTAGGATCTCTTATACATTCAATTTTACTTTTTAACCAAGTACATCGCACAATCACTTGAGCACTTCAGCCAAAAAAATTTAGGTGCACATTTTGAAAGGGAACACAAAATTGAACTAGTGTTCCAAGAATCACGGGTAGAAAGCCAAAATTCTCAGATATCAGTAACTTAAACACAGAAAACAGGGGTCAAATTACTTATTAGCCCCCTACAGTGTCACACTAAACTCATTCCGGAATTTTGATGACAAATGTAAACCTGCTTGCAACTCGATCATTTTCCGCACCTTGGATAATTGGAATCCAGTCCCCTTATTGGTTAGTATCATAATTGTTGTGTATGAGGCTAATTAATCAGGTTGAAAGTTGAGAAATATTTTTTACACAATGCTATGAACTTAACTCTGATCGATGTGGGATTTCTCAGAAATAGAATGCAACGAAAGAAGAAGAAAGAGAGGGAGTGACTGACCTGCAGGTGCAACGGAATTCAGAGGAAGAGCGTGTGAGTGTGAGAGAGAAAGTGAGGTTTAAAAGAGTGTGGTTTACGTGGAAAGTGACGAAAGGGGAAAGCCTCCGAAATTGAAAGGAAAATGGGGTTTCCTTTGCTTTTGTTCTGGTAAGTGTGTGTGGCGGAAGAGAGAGAGAGAGTTGTTCTTTTCTTACTTTATTTGTTTTTATAAGTAAGCCAAAGCGATGTGGGGAAGGTTGTTTGTTTATTATGTTTACAATTTACATGTCTGCGTTGCAAGCAAAGGAGAATAAATGGCATTCATTGAGAAAACGAAGAAAAGCGAGAACCGAGAATGCTCATCACATCACGCTACAATATTTCCCAACTTCCAGAAACAGCCAAAAATGGCGGAATGGAAATGTATTTCTTTAATTAGTTTCTAAAACAAAAAAAAATTGTTTTTGCTGCCAGTAGTTATCTAGGGAAAATGCTATGTAGTATTTTTTTAATAAAAAAAATTCATTAAAATTAGAGATGACAAATATACCCATATCCGCAGGTAAATACATTGACGAGAAATACCTGATTTGACCGAGTACGGGTAAAACCCGATATATTAAATCAAGTATGGGTACGGGTATATACTTACTGCCCGTACTCGTCACCGTTCCTAGTTTTAATTTAATACACACTTTCAATTTAATTATATTAAAGAATTTTAATATTTTTTTATGTGTAATTATTTATTATAATATGAGATAGAGAAATAACCTAATTATAATTATAATATAATAAAAAAATAATTTAAAAATATCATATATTTTTACAAGACATAAAAAATAAAAAATTTGACGGGTACGAGTACGAGTACGAGAATACTCGATACCCGACGGGAACGAAGATGAGGATGAAAATCATATATCCGACGGGTACGACTGCGGGGACGGGGATGAGTTTAACTCGCGGGAACAAGGACGAGTATCATGAAACCCGTACCCGACCCACCCCGTTACCATCCCTAATTAGAATGAAAGAATTTATATTTACGTTTATTTACATGTATTTTAATAAGAAACAAAAATCAAAATTTGATTATTTTAATATTGATTTTTTTTATTTTAATTTATTTAACAAATATCCTTAAATATGGTGATTAGCATATCAGGAAAATTTAGTTTAATTGATTAAAAATAAATGTAAATAATTATAAAATTACATTTATTTAAGTTCAATATCTCTTTTATTTTTTGATTTATGTTATTATATTAATAAATTAGGTTAACTATTCGTTTAAGCGAAAAATTGGATTTATTGTCTCATATATAATATATTATTTATTTTTATTAATTTAATCATCAATTCAATTTTAAAAAATCTTATTCAAACTTTTATTATGAAATAACAGCAAAAGTCAAAGTGGAACAGGGGCGGAAATAAGGGGGTCCAAGTGATCCGTCGTTATCTAATATTTAATGAAAGTAAATAAAATAGCAATATCGTCAATCTTATGTTATAGTTACACACCTTTGTATTTAAAAACACTTTTTCACTTTCTTTTACTTTTATCACTTATCACTACTCTTCTTCTATCGTTTTACATACAGTCTTTTGCTCTTCGGACTACATCCTCTATTCACCAGACTCATTATTTCATTTACTTGGTAATTTTAACCTTTCAATATATTACCATTTATTTCTATTTTTTACATTTATTGTTATTTATTGGTTTGTTGGTAATTCCATAACTATTATTTATTGTTAGTTTTTTATCTATCATATGTTCTTTTTTTATTTTTTTTTTGTTTTTTGTTTTTTTTTTATAGGTTTGACATGGCTTATTTAAAGTTTAGTATGACGTATTAACTTATTTAAAAATCTAGTTTACATAAATGATATTAAATAGACTAATAAATTTAGTTTTGAAAAAACTAAAAAATTTATTTTTAAATATGTCAATGCGAATTATTTTTTAGTTTACGTTATAAAATATAGTTTACTCAATATTATTAAAATTTAAATTTTAAAATATATACAATGTCACAAAAAAGAAAAAAGTGAATCATTTTTTGTTATAGGCAATTCATGCCAATCATTTATATTGGTATATACTCACGCATAGACTGTAACCCTAATTTATAATGAAAAAAAATAATTGTATAAAATTTTTTTTATAAATATTTCTTATATATAATTTTGTATATTCTAAATAATCGACTCATATTTTAACAAATTAAAATAATTACGGTAATAATTTATAAACTAAAAAAATACTTATTGTACATGAGGTGGTCTCAAGATTACCAAATACATATACAATGTCACAAAGAGGGGATAAATGGTATTATTTTCTATTAAAGAGACAACTTATGTAATTTCATGTACACTAACCTACAAGTAGGTAGGGAAGAGAATAGGTTAGGCCTTAAATAAGGGGTCTATAGCTTGATCTTTTTAAAGTCTGACCTGATCCAACCTATTTAATAAAAAGGTCAAGCTTAGACTTTTAAAAATGTTTATTTATATAAAAAGGTTAGGCTTAAGTTTATATAGAAACATATTATGCCTGATAGATTAACCTATTTATTTATATAATATCATAATAAAATAAAATAATATATATTATTAAAAATATAAATAAATAAATTTACAAAACAAAAATAAATTATTAATATTTAAAATATTTTTTATATATATTTTTTAATATAGGTTTATAAACTTACGACCTGTGCATGAATGTACATCAGCATACATAATTACACATGAATTGTTCTTTCAATAGAAAATTATTCAAATTTTCTTCTATATTTCTTTTAAAATTTAAATTTTAATAATATTGAGTAAACTATATTTTAAAAATATTTTTTTATTTCTAAAAATTAAGTTTATTGATCTAATTAACATTAATAATTTAAATAGATTTTTAAATAGGTTAATAAACTAGGCCAAACTTTCAAAAAGATCATGTTAGACTTATAAAAAAATTCTATGATAGATAATAGGTGACTTGAACTTTAATTTTACAGAAAAGGCCTAGTTTATATATTTAAAATTTGAACTGGCCTAACCTATTCTCATCCCTACATATAGGCTATGAAAGAAGGTAATCATATTAAAAAAATTCTAATTATTTCAATTATCTCATTTGATATATTTTCAATAACCAACTTCTATTTTATAAAAAAATAAAATAGTTATGACAATACTCATTCATATTATTTGTTTAACTATAGAAAACTTTAGTAATTTGAAAAGATGACACAATTATTCAATACAATCAGTTTAATACTAATACAAAAAATAATAATGTAAAAGTAATTCAATAGAATCAATACTAACCATTTAATACTTCCAAAAAACAATAATTTAAAAGCTAACACAATTATAATATGACAACCAAAAAAAGTGTATCAAACAACACCAAAGTTGATGGAATAACACTAAGGCCAAGAAGTCCAAGAGGTGATGTATTGAAGAAAGCAAAAGGAATGGGTTAGTGTTGAAAAAAAAACCATAGGAGGAGTGAGGCCACTTTTGGACCTTAGCTCCTAAGTTCTTATTAGCATAGCATTTATTTTTATTCCTATTTTTTCCCTTATCTTTGATTCCAAAATTACCCTTGTACTTTGGGGTATTTTAGTCATAGAATTTATTTTACTTGTATTTCCAATTTTACCCTTGTATTTTGGGGTGTTTAGGACTTAGAATTTATTTTCCCTTGTATTTCCCATTTTACCCTTGTATTATGGGGTGCTCTAGATGATTAGGGTTTTTAATTTTGGGCTAGGGTGTTAATTAGAGGGTGACACATATTTTTGGTGCCTATTGGGTCTATTTTTGGTGTTAGAAAGGCTTAGGCCCAAGTGGAGGGCAAAGGTTGCATGGTCTTATCATGCACCTAGATATAGCCAATCTAAACCCAAAGATTCCATCCTTGGCCACCAAGTTGCATCTAGGGTTCATTTGCATTTCATTTGGAATGCATTTGCCTACTCCAAATGCAACCCTAGATGCCTCCCCTCCTATAAATACCCAATGCACCACACCTTGTAAATACTTTGGATATTGAATATAAAGAGAGCCTTTTGTGCCTTTATATCTTTCCTTAGTCACCCTTGGCTAATTCGGCCACCTCCCTCCCATCTCCACCTTGAGAGAAACAACCCTAGAAGTGGCCTTCATCATCATGAAGTGAGCCAACCCTAGAGTACCCTTCTCAAGCATTTCCTCAAACACCTTCTACCCAACCTCCATTTTCATCCATTCCATCATCATCCACCACCTTGTGCTACCTTTGAAGAACTTGATCCTTGGAGAAGGCGTCCTATTCTTTATTGATCATCTCAAGTTCATGCAAGTAAGGATGCCATCAAAAGTTGTTAAATCTTCAAGGTGATCTCTTCATGTCCTTCATCCACCTTCAAAAAAAAAAAGTAAATTAGAAGATATATTAAAAATAAATATTTTATTAAATGTAAGCAAAAATCCATGTAAAAATAACAAACTTTTACCTTTAAACTTTTATTTAAATTATATTTGTGTTGAAACCAATCTCTACCACAAATGAGTGTTTTCAATAGACTCTTCATTTAATTTAGAAAAAAATTCGTCAATGATTCTCCCTCCAGCACTAATAGTTGATTCAGATGCTACAGTTGATATTGGAATAACAATTATATCAGTAACCATCTTTGACAAGACCTTATATTTCATTTTGTTGTTCCTCCACCACTCCAAGGCTCTAAATAAGTTATTATTACCTGTTGGAATATAAACTCCATCAAGATAAGTTTGTAATTATGATTTTATTGGAGGAATAGCTTCCTTTTCATGCATCGTGCTCATAATATGGTCAAATCCATTCATGATTGAAGAATTAACTCTAATAAAAGATGTTGAATTATTGTCACCATGACCTATTTCTACAGAAGATGATTCTCCCAAACTCAAAGTCATATACTCATCATACAATTGTTCCAATGACTTCTGAACCTTCACTACATTCTCTTTAGCAACATCCTCGGGTTTATATATCAATGGGAAACATATATCAACAATATGAGATTTGACCCCTAGGATCTAAAACACTTGCAATAGTCATAAGTAAATTACATTGCCCCCCAATACTTTCATTTTCATTGGAGTTTCCATCTCTCTCATAAAAAGATCTTCATCTTCAACTGCACTATCAATTACCATGTTCACTCTCCACACTTCTACAAGATATAAATTTGCATAGGATACTCACTTCCTAAAATTATATGTGTAGCTAGATTAAACACTTCCAAAAGCTTACAAACCTTTTCAACTT